TCCTTTTTACTTCGTACAAGGAAGTAAAAAAGATGGATTAGCCTAAAATCTATATAATTTGGAAGGCCTTCAGTCAAAACTGATATGGAACTTGGGTGTAGAGCCATTATGTACTTTATCTAAATTAGTTAATCAAAAAGAAATATTTGTTTTCTAATTTTAGATATATATATGGAACTAGCATTTATTAATGCAGTGGCCAACACTTCACTAACTTTACTAAATTAGTACTTCTGAGCTGTGCAACACTGGGTTTAATTTTATACGAATTTCTGAGAATTGCCTACATCAAAATGTAAATGTTAATGAAACATATAAATAATTATCGTAAACTTCCTAAATATGAAATTCTTGTATCCAGGGTTCGTACACATTTCTGCACATGGAAATTAAGTACTTTTAAGGACTTTTAAAGACCATTAATGAAAAAATTAAGGAAATATGAGCAAATAGCAAATTAATAATTTAATTAAAAATTAATCAATGCCTGAACTTACTTTTGTAATACCATCCAAAAAATAAAATAGATCCTAGTAGGATGCATTATTATTAAACATAACTTATTTAACATAATTATAGTAGTTTGAGTATAAAATACTTTATGAAATTATCAAACAGCATTAAATATTTTACACTTATAATAGTTCAGATTTGAAGAAGATAAGTGACATTTTATTTATGTTTACTAATATAGTTTAGTATTTCATGTTGACTTTTTTTTTTGTTTTTTTTTAATGTCTCATTACTTGCTCACCTAGAGGTTTAGAATAGCCAGGTAGATTTTATGTCAAGCGTCATAGGTTAAATCAGAAGAAAATCATAATAAGAATGATTTAAAACAAAAGACTGGCTGTTGTCACTGCTGCTCCTTGCCTAAAGAGAGACATGCAACCAGAACTCAAAGGCCTGATGTGGGCACGGTTAGCTAGTTTTTAAAGTCAGTACCATAGCTCTGTGTAGAGTTCCAGGGATTAAAACCCAGTTAATATACTTTAAGGTGCCGTAGCTCCGTGCAGAGTTCCACGGGATGTAACCCAGTTAATATACTTTAAGTTTCCAATAAGCCACTAAATAACCAGAGGTGACACTAACCTGCTGTGTATTATTTTAGGTCTCACTAGATACAAAGAATAAGTTTTATATGAATTTTAAAATTTTTTTGTTTTACCTTGTACCATGCTAAGAAATAATGCTTTCATTATTCACTTTAATATGCACAGCTAATTTTTAAGGGTAAGCAGTTAGTTATAAATTAAATAGTTAGATAACCTTAGTCATTATGGATTTACATGACCACTATTAAATTACCTATTTTAATAATACTGTTAAAGTCCTATTAAAATCTAAAAATTTACACTTTAAAATAATGCATTTATTATGATTCTTCAACGATCTAGGATAATACATTAAAAGCTCAAACATTTATGTTTATAGCAACACACTCAACAAAATATTTATCTTCTTTATGAACTGCCAGACATTTGCTAAATACGATTCCTTTTAAGATCTTACTAAAATGAGAATTTTCTAATTCAAACCAATGTTCTCATTAGTTTCTGTGTGCTTTATCTCCTAGTCAACCTCTCCACAATGTACCTATGAGGGTTTACTAGATCTGGTAAAAGTTAAATAATCCAAAAACTCCCGAAAGACATGAGCCGGTTACAGAGACATGAGCCGGTTATATGGTAAGAGCCGGTTACAGAGCTGGGTGTGGCAGAATTTTTAGAATTTAGTGACACACTCAGCAACAAAATGTAGAAATGGCAAAACTTTTACAATTTAGAGCAGGTGCTGGAAGCAGAATTTAGAAAGGCACTAGTCAGCAAAATTTAGGATCTACACATAGAGGTTTAATATTCCACGTGTTAAACCTCTCTGTGTATATGCATTAAGACATATTAGATGAATTTTTAAACTGCCAGTTTAATTTCTTTATTAATCAAAAAATTCCTTTCTATAATGCTGTCCATGTGATAGATTATAACCATTTTTATATTTCCAACTGGTCTAGAAAAGTAGAGAAAATAAAGGGAAGATAGCATGTTAGAAAAGATCTACTATCGAAGTAAAACTAAGTATTATGTTTCGTGTTCTCCAGTGCTATCCAAAAGTAAAAATTCATTGCAACTTTTTGTAAAATACATCCATACGTGTTATACCATAGTGACATTTTTCATTTTGTCACATTTTACTAAAATCTTATGGAATCGTGGGTCTATAAATTTTGTCTTCAAATCTTTCTAAACTTTTCAAGTTGCAGTGTCTAACGTCACGAACAAAAAATACCCCTACCAGTTTTGTAACAGCAAACAGGCAGAAATATTTTGAAAAAAATCAGACGAAAAAAGTGTGAAATTAATTCATTAATTTTATAGAAAAAACTGATGCATATTATGACAATTCGGAATACTCTGAGACACATGAGAAACATGAGAAAACTGTTATCATGAAAAAAATGGAAAAGATATTTTTAAATTAATATGTTACTTTTTAAATATTAAGTCATTAACATATTTTTACGAAATTCATGTTAGAATGTTTAAAAAATCTCAAAAATTCCAGCTTGAATTTAATTTTCTATAGAACGATCTAAGAACGCAAAATGTTGATAAGCGCCAAACTTATCCGTTCAATAAAAGAATCACATTCCCAAAACGAAAATTGCTTAGAGCGTCATAGAAAAGTGATATTTCGAATACTTGTTTCACTCTTGCTCAGAATCAGAGATCCCCATTTATTTAATCGCCAAAAATCCTCCAAATGCAATTCACACCAATGGCAGTCTACAAGACGAAATTTACATGATTAAAATTAAGGACCTTCTGCTGATTTTGGCCAAAATTAAGGCTTTTAAGGACCAAAAATCGATTCCAAAAAACTTAAGGACTCTTAAGGACCGTATGAACCCTGTGTATCTGATTCTGAAACTCAAAATTAGTTTTAATGTTCCAACGCAAGGTTTCAGCTGGGAAAAAACGAATTTTTTTTTTATTCAAAAAGCTCAAGGACTTAAATCAGTCATGATATGCTTCGAAGAAATTTTTATCAACATGACAAGATTTACATCTTTAATTTCCTAAAAGAATTCTTAGCTTTTATTCGTCAACAAATGAACAGATCTGCCTTCTAAGAGACTTCCCTCACAGGCAATCACAGTAAACATTCTACTCAGACTAATTCCTTGAAAAAGTAATGGGTCGTACAATATGGACTTAGACAAATGTCTAAATATATATAAAATTATGGAGTTTGTTTAAAAATTCCTCTCAAAAAGTAACCCTATAGCTCTAGTTGTTGCCCAGTTTTTTTTTAAGAAATATTACAGCTGCTGAATAAGCATTCATAAAATGAGCTAGCATGTTCAAAAACTTATAAAAAAGAGAACTGTGAAATTAGGTACATATAGCTACTTCTCTGTCATTACTATACATGATACTAAAGGTTATCAATTCCAGAGGAACAGCTAAAATTTTGATAACATACTTCTATCAAAAGAGCTGCACTGCTACAAAATAAAATACTATGCATTAGAAAAAAATAATTTTTTTCTTTTTTAAATCTTTTTCTTTTAAACAATGACCCAATTTACACTGGTTTTAATTATTACACATCTAAACATACATTCATTGACATAATTCTGACAAAAATGATCATTTATGAAATTGAAATTCTTTTATAAATGACTTTTCTCACCTGCTTCCGATGCTTTTTATCAGAAATCACACAGGGGGCTTTCAAGCTTCTAGTCTCATTCAGAATCACTGTTTTAGTATCATCTTCAAATATTGCATGGTAGTCTCGTACAAGATAGTTTACAACATTTTTCACCCTGATAAGGACCAGAGGATCTTTTGATGATGGCCTGAAATTGCATTAAAAAATATTTTTTTTATAAGAAAACACATTTTAAATATAAAATAACTCATCTCTAAAGTCAAATAATACTTAAATGATAAGCTTATTTATTTTAATATAAACTTCTAATACAAAAGCACATATAAGTAGCATAAGCTGTATTACCTTTTATGACAAAATGCTACTAGACCTAGATATATTTAAAAAACTTATGCATAAACGCAATTCACACACATATCAAATATCAGATAGTCTAGCCAAACAGTTTGATATGTTTTGCTGTTCACAAATAATTTTCAAACTTGTTTAAAGGTAGGTAACAAAATTTTGAAACTGAGGATAATGATAATCAGTGTGAATTGGGTAGATGAAGTATTCAAATAAAAATATACCAAATTTCTAGTTTCACATAGAATAATAAAATATTGCAACAACGAATGTAATAATACAAAGATAACATCTTGATTATTGTAGAAATCTTGAAATTATTTCAACATAATAAATTTATTTTAAAAGTGCATTTGAATGAGTGTTGCAATGAAATACACCAGTATGTAAGAAATGTACAAAAAATAACAAAAAATGCATGGAAAAATGTGATAAGCAAGAAGACATAGTGAAAATAAATGCTTTTCATTCAATCATAAAGACTCAAAACAAATGAAAGCTGAACAATTTTAATACCAAAGTACACAAATACGTAAACCACACTTATCTGTCAATGCTATCTTTAATTACATATATGCATGCAAAAAATATATTAATATACTACATACCTGAACAAAAGAGGACCAAATATGATTCCCAAGTCATCACAGCTCATACCATTGTATTTTTTATTGCAAGCTACACGTAGCAGGAAACGAGATAAATACTTTAAAACATGGTAAGCAGATTCAGGGAGCTTACTGACGTTTTGCTTTAATTTTGATACACAATCTGGAGAGCTTAGAGAAAGATCTGCAAATTAACAAATAATAAAAATTCAAATGAAAACTGTGTGTGTGTGTATATATAAAGAGAGAAAGAGAGATTAAATGTTTCCTTTTTGGAATTCAATTCAACATAGAAAATCACATGTTTAAATCTCATACTTACAATACTTCAAAAATATATACAAATATCTAAGTTGACTTTGAAAACCCAAAAGATATCGTCCAAGCAATATTTTTTTAATATAAATAAAAAGATTAAATAATGTTTTATAATGCAAATTACTATGAACACATTTAAGAATAGAAATTTAAAACAGAGTACAGCTTAACCCTTTGGCAGTTACAAAGATTAAGCAACTCTTTCTTCCTATGTATGGGTGATTATCTGTCAGTTGCAACTTGCAATGCGAAATGTGTTCATGTGGTTACAGTGTTGCAAAACTGGAATGCGAGCTGAACTCGTTGATGACTATCAAAAGGTTAACCAGGCACCTGATTGCACTATAAATATTCTAATATATCTTCATAGTTTCATTCACTGTACCAACCGAAAAAAGAAATTGCAATTTAAAGCTCGGCTGATTTTAAAGAAAGAAATTCTTGGCAAAATTTTCATTGAATCTACCAAGCCAAAAAAAATTAAATGCCGCATAATTTAACATTAAAAAATCTTATTTAAGTTTATAATAAGCATCGTAAAATATCATATAATAACCATCATAAAATGTTGCTGAATATTTCAAAGAATAAAAATTAAGTGGTCAGTTAGAGCTATAATAATTAATGCACACTAGGGAAATACATACTTTCCATATCTTTCACAAAATCAGGCTGAGCCGATACTGGAATCAAAGGTTCAGGCAAATCCTCAAAGAAAATGATGAGCAGCTTTGCAACAGAAGCAACATTACCTACAGTTTCTAAAGGTGCATCTCCAGATTCTATAAATTCAATTTTTAAAGACTCTACTATATCTTTCTCTTCTCCCTCTAAAAAGAGATGCTTTTGTTGTAAACCTAGAGGGGGGGAAATTTTTCTTAGGACTTCAATGCAATTTCACTTATTAATTAATGAAAAATGAAAACTGCTTTCAACAATGCATTTAATAAAGTACTTATTCACACATTAAGAATAAATGAAGCAAGTATAAAGTGATCCAAAATATCTAAATAAAATTAAAATATATATATATATATATATAATATATATATATATATATTGTAAGAAAATACTTTATAATTGGAGGAACAACTGACACTGATATTTATTTGTCATCAATAGAAAAAAAATTTTACTAAAAATACAGTAGCATCAAAATATCAAATACTTGCATCAACACAAAATAAGTAAATTACCATGTTCTTCAATATAACGGCAGAGACGAGACAGTATGAAAGGGATCTGGGGAGCAACTTGCGGAGTAGTTCCCATGAGATTATCAAGACAAATTCCAAACACGGATGTCTTGCTGGTATGACTTTTTTCGAGAGATTTCTCAATTGCGTGAATCTCACTCTGGCTCTCGTTCTCAGAGACAATTAAACCCTTTAAATGTGAACAAAAGGAGATGATATAAATTCCAATATCACTTTTTTAGATACAAATATTCCATGCATTTAATAAAAGAAAACTAACAAAAGGGACAAATTCCAATTACCTACATTAAATTAAAATACATTTACAGATTATACCTGATCATCAGGGCATAAATCTGTTGCATCAGAACACAGTGGTGCTCTCATGCTCTATAATGTCCTCTGCAAAACAGATCTTTCAAAACAAAATTCTAGACCTAAAAAAGGATTTTCATTTTAACATATAATATAACTATTAAAAATGTTATTACTTGTGAGCTTTGAACTACATAAAATAAAAATATCATTAAAAATATACATATTTCATACCACATTTATTTTATAATTCTAAAAACTGAACAATACTATTAAAATATCTATCAGAACAGAAATAACTACATACAATCGACAAATCAATAATAAAAATTAAACACAATTAATTCTCTTTAAGACTGCTCACACTTCCCAGATGATTTTAGATTTTGTGTGGAAATAGTTCTTTTAAAGCAAATATTCAGCCTGTATTTTAATGAACCTTAGGGTTCCAAGTATTTTTTTTTTATTTTCCTAGGTTAATGTGAAGGTTAAAATCAAGATTCGAAAGAAAAATTTAATAATAGCAGACTGTGAAACAATTCATCTAAAATAATTAATATTTTATGTTGTTTCTAATAACTAAAATAGGAAGTTATTCTAGTTTTATAAATAAAATGTGATGAAATAATTTTCCCCCCAATAATGTGCAGATAACACCAAATGTATTTAAAATTTTATATGCTTCTCTAACATTTGTTTTTCTGATGATGGTAGAGATTAGGAAAAAAAATAGTTTTAGACAATTACAATTTAGCAATAAAGAAAATTATCATTTCATGGATTCCACGAAGTGTTAGGAGCTCTTTGAGTGAGCAAAGTTTGTAGACCTATGTTCAATATCTGTTTATATATTTTGAAAAGTATTGATAATTTTTTTAGATGATTTCTACAAGACAGCTTACTGTATTCTCAGCTTTACTTTTAAAATGTCAAGTTTCCTTGAAAGAAATCAAAGTTTAACATTCTGATATTATGACGCAAAAGATATGGAAAGTTTGCATATGTTAGAAAACAAGTCAGTAATTTAAATCACATATTTATGCAAAGTAAAACAATATGAATTACATATTCTGCAAGTTTGGGAGGGGTTGGGGGGAAGGGTGTCCTGGCTCAGAACTCCAGCTTCTATAAATATGCATAATGATTAATACATAGTATATACACTGAAATATAACTAACTTGCAATTTAATTACTGATCAAAAGTTTTTCTTTTGAATAAGAAAAATCATTCTGCTTGCTCACCACTCAAAAAAATTTTTTTTGAATTTGAATATGAATAACAGAAGCATTCGGCTTGTTTATTGTTATTAAATTCGAAGATAAACTTTCTTGCCTACCTTACCATTAATAACAAAATACCTAAAACACTAAATTTAAAATCCATTCCAATTTTAAGATGCAATAACCTATTATAGATAACTGCAATGAACACACCAAATACACTCATGGACAAAAAAATTAGCACACCAAGAAATAATTGCGAGATTGTAACGAAACTTGCAATGTAGGTACATGTCGGGGAGATATGCAAATGATTAGAAATGCAGTGTGATTGTGCATTACGTATAGCCGGTAGAGGGCATTGAACGTCGTACTCTGTGGAGTATAAAACAGGTAACCAAAGCTTGTTTGAGTGTGCTGAATCATTTACAAAGGAAGAGCTGAGGTAGACATGCCTTACGCCGGTTTGAAGACATATGAGCAGTTGTCGAGTTTGAGAGGGGGGAATCGTCGGGATGAGGAGGCTGGGTGGTCAGCTAGGCGAGTAGCTCGTTAATTAGGCCGCTCTGATTGTGTTGTGGAGGTGTTGGGACCAGGGACCCGAGAGTGTCATGTACATGAAGACCAGGCTCAGGACGCCCTCGACAGAGCAGTCATCGAGAAGGCCGCTACATCGTAAGAAATGCACACATACAGCCAACTGCTTCATCCGCCGCCATCCAGGCACAGGTAGCACCTTCACTAAGGGCCCTTGTGTTTTCTCGAATCATATGAAGGCGCCTGGCTGAAGGACAGTTGGTATCTCGGTGCACATTATGTGTGCTGCCCTTGATGCGCACCCATCGACGCCTCCATTTGGAGTGGGTTGACCGAGAAAAACTGGACTGCGCAGAATGGAACCAGGTCGCCCTTACGCGAATCCAAGATTCAATCTTGGCAGTGATGACAATCGGTTCGTGTGTGGAAAGCCCATGGTGAACGCCTCAACCTCCTTGCTGTACAGCGAACATTGCTCCCACCGTTGCTGTGATGATATGGGGTGCCATCGCCTACAATACATGGTCCTCTAGTATGTTCCGTGGTACCATGACTGCCCAGCGGTATGTTCAGAAATCGAACCACATGTGTCGCCACTCATGCCAACGGCTCCCAGGAGCATTTTTAAACAAACAATGCTTGGCCTCATATGGCAAGGGTGTCACAGGGATGGCTCCCACTGTTCTACCCTTCCTTGGCCTGCCCGATTCCCAGATTTTTCTCCAATCGAGCATATCTGGAATCATTTGGGACAACGAGTTGGGCATTCCACGAGTTTGAACGAACTAGAGGCAAAGTTACAGCAAATATGGAACGAAATGTCTCATGACATCATACAGAACTTGTATGACTCAATGCCCGATCGTATCGCATCGTGCATTCGCGCTAGAGGGGGCCAACAGAGTATTAACTCTGTTCTTTTGCCTTTTTCTCTGAAATAAATTATCCTTTTACTTTGATTTTCTTATCATTTACTTACATCAAAGTAGTCATTATGTATATAAAATTTCGTTTCATTTTGAATACTCCTTTTTGGTGCGTCCGAAATGAAATTGGGACTATGACAAATTTCTGCAATGGTTTATTATAATTCAAACCCATGCATATTTGCAAACTGAAAAGTGATACACGAGTGTGAAATTATATCTGCATAAACAACCAATCTTATCAGTCAAAGATGTATATAATTCTACAAAACTCCTTAACAGGGAGTCAGTCCACAACAAAAGCATGTTAGTGATTACTTAAGAGTCTTTGAACTGGTTATGGCATGTGAGCTGCATTCACCCATACATCTAAAATTGCTGCATAATCAGAAAACTACATTAAATAATATACATGCATCATATTTTAAGGTATTTCTCCCGCCTTCTTAGAGTAATGGTCAGCACGCTGGGCGCGTATTCCAGTGGTCCGTGGTTCGATTCCCGGCAAAGGTGTCGCTCATTTTTAACTTCTTCCTGCTTCTAAAAAATCCTAACGCCTCTATAGTGGCATCCGAACTAAAAGGGTGGTGGATGATGATTCTCCACACCCAAGGATTTGGCAACTGGATCCCCTAAAACCCAAGTTGCACTTTAAAAGTGTAGTGGTCAGCACGCTGGGCACGTATTGCAGAGGTCCATGGTTCAATTCTGGGTGAAGGCATTGCTAATTTTTAACTTCTTCCTGCTTCCAAAAAATCCTAATGTCTCTATAACATTCTTCATTCTATTGTTAACATTTCCAGCTCAAATAATGGATTACTCCATGCTCAGTCAGTTACAAACACAAAACAACACTGTCATTTTTGTCCCTTCTGTTTCACTCTGTGACATTGCTGACATATACTGCCCTCTACTGCAGTTTAACACACCACTAGAACCACAGCCGCACTTTCACTTGAGTACCCAACATTAATTAAACTTTCACTTGGGTACCCATATATATATATTAAGAATATCTGTAAAAATCTAACTAATAATGGTATTTTTACATTGTAGTAGCATTAGCAAGAAACTAGAGTTGGTGCATTTCAGCCTATGTGAAAAATAAGAGTTACCAATACATATAAGCAAGTCATTCAATATCTATCATACACATGCACATAGTGTACATTTCATGTGCATTAAGTAATTTTTTTCAGCTGGTGGAAATTTTCTTGGTTTTTCATTGGTAAATATTTATATTAGAGTTAATATCCAACATCATATCAACCATAATTATGGATTTGACACATCATCAGCAACAATTGTTGAACTGAAGCCACCAAAAAGTGTCTGCTTAAAATAAATTTCAGATATTTCCTAGATATCATTGAAATAAATTTTCACAAAACTGCATTAAAATAATAAATATATAATCATACTAAATTGCTTTTAAACATGTATAATACATAAACTATGTACAGCAGACACTGAATGCATTACCTATACGTACTAAAAAATTTTTCTCTAAGTTGAATTCCCATTTCTCACCAAAAATACGAGTACTTATTTTTAAAAAAAATAACAGAAATTTTAGAGATGTAAGTAAAGAAACTTAGCTTTGAAATATTTTTATCACTTTATTAGCATTTAGGTTTTAACTATTATTATTCCAAAGAGTTAAAACCTAAATGGTAATAAATTGATAAAAATATTTCAAAGCTAAGCTAATAACAATTTATTTATTCTATAATTTTGAATTCTCTATATAAAAATTTACGTATTTCCCTCAGCTTATAACAGTCAATATTCAGTTACCAATTTATAGCTTTAAAATTCAACTTTTTTTTTTTTTTTTCTTACAGCAATACTGCATGAATCACACATGCATGCAATGATTTCACAGTTATGTTTCAGCCTACAGTTAATTATGCAATCATGTCCAGATGTGAAGATAGAAAATATTTGTTACAAATGCTTGAGTTTACAAATATTTTCCAGCCACCACTGCTAGTTTATATAATAGAACTTCTTAAATATCAATAATAAAGGTACAAAAAAATATTAACTATTAACCTAAAATATTAAAAAAAAAACATGAAACCTACCAAAGACTACTAATCTACTTAAGCAATAACGTACAACAAAATACGAGACCACTATTAACAATTAAGTAGAAATTAATACAGAGGACTCTTGACTTGACACAAACCAAGTCTGTTGGGAAGGTTAATTAAAGAGAGATCTGATGATTATAAACCAGATCCTAGTCCGTAGAGGTGACAGAGTGATCATGGTCAACAAACATAGTGAAACAGTTTCTATGGTTGCTTCAGAAATCGACAAGACACCAGCCGCAATGATAGCATTCGCTACTGTGGTGCGACTCTCACTTTCAGCTGTGGCCAACTGCCACAACCAAGGAAGGCAACTTGAAATTTAGCTGCCTCCTACACCTCCCCCTTCCACACAATCAAAGGCAAAATAAAAACCTGAAATACAAAAATAAATAAATAAATATTCTGTGGATACTAAATTAACATACAGCAAATACTACACACTAGTAATAAAATTATCAAACATAATATGTAACATGCTGACATTTTTATTTACAGTACACTTTCGATTTACCATAGGTAGATAAATCAAGTTCCAGATTTACTAGGTTCTATTGAGAGAAAAAATAACATTTGACAAGATCAGATCATCAGTCTTCAAAATAGGTAAGAAAGGGGGAAGAACTGACAAAAAAAATTTTTTTATTATTATTATTTCTTTAAACATAAGTTTGAACTTAATCACATTGTTCAAGTTCCTTTGTACATGTTTTGTAAGGCAATACTGCAAGCCTTGAAAAACTTCGTGAAAAAGCAGGAGTTAGTGGAAATTTTCACCTGTGCAGTGACACCATTGTTTCTTAAGGGACTTAAATTTATTTTATAATACACAGTTTAGATTATTGAATTTATTTGTAATATGATTCTGTTGTCTAAATTTTATGTTAACTTTGTTTTGTAATTTTCTTATACTGAAATAATTCTGAGGTGGAAAAGAATGCTTTTATACATAGAACTTTTATATATAATGAAAATCTATTTAATGCATGTAACTACCACTTAGTAATGTACCATAAATTGATGTAAAAGAAAATTAAATACAAATATTAATTGATTGAACATTAAGTTTTACTACAGCGGATTAATACAATTCAGACCAATTCAAATTTAGTAAGAAAAATTATATTGAAAATCATCAAGGGTGAGAGTGTTTACACAATTTTAATTTTCATTAATGCAATAAATTTTTTTTCGCTATTGTAATACACTTTCCTTATTAAAGGCTAAAAATTAAAAAAAAACATTCAGTGAAAAACTAGATCCATTTATAATTTAGTCATCTGCTGTATACAATTTATTGAATATTTATTTTATGCAACCGAATTAAACCACTTGAATGTATCAGATAACTATTAACAGTAAGTCCTAACTTTATTTTGCGTTAGCTGTAGCTATCATCCCCAGAAATATTTTAATAAACCAGGAGTGGACTTTACATGAATCTATACACAGATAAATTATTACATAACTAGTATTATCAGAAGTACATATATAAATACACACAACTTAATAACTGATCAACAATATTTTAATGTGTCTGCTTGGGACAGCATAATTAAACTACGGAGCCACTTATGGTCAGGTGGGCAGTTTGCTCCCCACAAACATTCATACAACCAATTCTCAAATCCATCCAATCCAGTACAGTTCTGCTTATTTCTAAATTTTTAAGGAAAACTGCAATTCCAGGCAGACTATACCTGAGCCTCTTTTAAGCTCCAACAGTTGTAGTCAGCTTAGATTTCGACAATATGCTAAATTTCTTGAACAATAATTTCGGAAAATTTCATTTACAACAGTAAATTCTTAGAATTTGCAAGCAATTTAAAAATATTTGTTTTCTAATAAATAAACTAATGTATAAAAGAATTATCAGTGAAAACGCAAATTTACAAAGATTTTGAATCAAAACTAAGTTCCTATTGTAAAAGTCTTCACAATATTTTTGTAAGTTATGAATATGAAGGCAGATAATTTGAGAAATAATTAGCAAAAAATAAACCTCTTCAGGGTAAAGAAAACTAAATGTTGCTTAAAATAAGTTTCCTTACAGCACACATCAAGTCTCAACTTCTAAGAACTTCCTTATGTTTTATTGATTTATCATTTCATTTAATTTTGAAAATATTGTTTAGGTATAAGGTTTAGGTATATAAATATGGTAAATTTATTTCCCCTCTTTTATTAATCATTGTTTCATATATTACATTTATTTCTCTTAATCATTCTGATCAACTTTCATAGACGTCAAAAAATTACTTCAAGCTGACCGATCAAAATTTTTTATTTTCTACTTTCAAATTATCACAGTAACGCAAAAATTTATTTTGTTCACATAATATATCCCATAAATAAAAAATTTAATTCTCTCAGAATAACATGTTGCAAAGAAAATATCAGTAATCTGAAATTTACTGCATAAAAAATATTGTATAGGAAGTATAAAATCCAGACAAATGGAGGCAAGATACTCTGTCAGCCAGAAGATACCTGAATTTATTATATTCTTATGATAAATATGAAATGAAGCTTCCGGCATTCCGAAAAGTGGGTAGGTAGTGAAGTGACTACTGGTAATTTATAGATGCTTCAAACTTACAAATTACTGGATCACCAATGAAGTAAAAACTGTACATGCATGGATTAGGTACAGGCAGCACGTTCAGACACGTCCATTACGTTACATTACCTCACGTAGCGCAATTTTCCGGTACTACGCGTTAATTATGGGAGTAACAGCAACATTTAGTAAGGATTTGGCATTTGTAATTAAGTTCTCCCTCCCTCAAAATTCAAAAATTGGGAAGATTTTTAAAAATACACTTATTCAACGCAAGGTTCGCCTTTTAATTAGGTTTTAAACACCATGAGACAGCTGCATAATACTAACATGCTTAAAGCATAAAATTAATTAATTTATGACTCTGTTAGAAAGAACCACTTAACTCTTGATGCAATATAAAAATATCAACACTAGGACACATTTATTACACCATTTTTCCCCAAAACAGATTCTATTTTTAGGGAAACAGTAAACCCATACAAAAATTTTCTAGAACATTCATAATAACCAACTTCCAATTTAATCTAAAATTAGGTATTATCAAATGTTAATTAATTTTATAGGCCACGCAAAATATCAATAATGCACATCTACAGGAATGTAATTACCATTCAACCTTACAAGGATATATTTACTCAAAATTCAGTTCAGAGGATCATGCCGAAACAAGCTAACGACAGATCAAAACAAGCAGCGAAAATTCGCAAAACCGTGCATATTAATTTTATTTCAGTCAAAAATGATATACTATTAAGTGGATTACGTTTTAAAAATACATTGATACTACTTACAACGCTGTAGTAATAGTAAACAGGCACTTAAAATCCAGTTCGGCACAAAACACAGATGTAAGAGCTATAGCTCTGAGTTTTGCCGTAAAAATGGCTGAATGTGCAGTGCGCCAAAACACGCGCCGACGTTCAGAAAATGTCAAGTTAAATGGTTGCCACAGTTCCCATCGTTCTCCATTTACATTTTTAAAGCGCCACATCGCCAAATAATAACGGTTTATTAATCGTACGGTCTTTCCGAAATGAATGTCAATTAGAAAAAGTATTTCTCTCTAGCACAACAGCTCATTAAATTTAATATAAAAGTATATAGGTTAAATATAAAAATTACTTCCAAAAATATAGTAGTAAAATTTTATGTAATAGTAATCTATATTATTGCAATATTCTCTAACAAATCAGTATAACTGTTTCTTTTAAATCCGCTAACTTGGCATTCCACAGCGCCCGAAACATGGAAACTAACTCAAAATAGAACCCGACTCTTTTATAAGAAAATTAATTCTTTACGTGCGAGTAAACTAACATACTATTCAGAGCCTAATTTCTAGAATTTAATTTAATAAAGGCTTATGAAAAAACTGACAGGAACAGAGGAAAATTAATAATATATTAATGAAGAATTCATACAGTATTAAATATTAAAAATTCATAAATAATAATAAATGTACAAATAGCGAAATAAACAGATAACATATGAAATAATACCGTAAATGGGAAAAGCATAAGTTACTGATAAGACAAGACATTTTTTTTAGCCGAAAAGGCGCTGGCCCAGAAGGGCTATTAATTTCGATTTGGCATTTTGTGGCGTTTCACTTTTCAAATTGTTGCCACCAATATTATCGCCATTTATTATATTTAAAGAAATTAAATAATGAAGAATCTGCATAAATGTATGCATGTTTCTCGCATTGTGATAAAACAACGGCACCTAGAGCCATGAAATTTTAAATAACTACGTCTCCACCCGAATATGGGCCTCTTGAAGCCTGAATTTGTTTTATTATCCATTTCATATTTTGAAAAGCATTTATAAGTTTTTGATTTAAAAAACTCAACGATTTCAAGCGAGCAATGGCAACACTGTACCAGGAAAAAAAATTGCGATGTTGCTGTTGAACTGTGTGTGTGTGTGATTATGGCAAAGCCTCGAGAGCTATCTGCCTAAGGGGAGGGATGCCTTCGTGGAGGACCTTTCTAAGGGAAACTGGCTCGTATACACGTTACACATAGGGAAAACCATGAAAACGCCCGTGCAGCCAGCCCGTTCGCGGGATTCGAACCTTGGACCGAACTACCAGTGTTCAGCGACTTTATCGCTCGGCTGCTGGTGGGCCTGCTGTTGAACTGAATTTTATGATTTAAGTGTGAAGAACATGATATTTAATAAATAAAGGCAACACACAAAGCCCCTTTGGGGATAATATAAAATCTGAAAACTTTCATATTTTTTTAAATATACTAAATATTTTAAACAGTACCTCATGAAAAATATGTCAATGAAAAAAAAAAATTACCATAAAAATTTTTTAATATAAATTTAAGTACTTCCTGTCCTTCCTTCCCCTGAGATGACTTCTTGTCAGCTACAGCGTGATCAATAAATCGGATCGAAAATATACTCTTAAATTTAAATTCTGAAACAATGTGTAAACCAAAAAATATAAATTCCGCCATGTTCCAAGTATTTACTATCAACCTGGTGATAACCTTTCACGATCTTTGAATTTTTTACACTCAGGTTTTTGTTCGAACTCTTTGGTTTGTTAATTCCTTACACATGCATACTGCCATGTTAACCACGTAACAAAACTTTACTTACGCGAAAAAAGTTATACTGTAGCAATGCTTCGCAAGATAAAACGTTTCGGCCTTTCCTTTCAACCGAAAAGCTCAAAAAACTTTACTACTTTATTTCAAGTCATGTACCGTTTGACTATCTGATCCCGTAATATATACTGTTACGAATTTGGTATTTAAAAAGCTAATGTTAGTTCAATTATAAATTAAATGGTTTTATTTCTCGCGCAGTGCAGCGCGTTACGAATATTAAAAGAAAGCTAACCAGAAAATTGAAAATACAAGAGCGCGTGCATTAAATAAATAAATATCTCTTTTTGATTTCGAGAAAGTACTGGAAAATTCTAGCGCGTGATTTTAAAATCTTATAAAAGGAGGAAAACATCTCAGTTTGGAGTAGTTGCTTAGTTTGTGTTGTTTAGAAAACTGCTCTTGTGATTGTAGCGAATTCGCGGATTAGCGTTCTTTAGCTGTTTTGAATTACGTTCTATTGGACATATGAGTAGTTAAAAGAAAACTACTGTGAGATATTGTAATACTGCATGATAATTTGAGAAAATTTAAGCATTTCTGTTGTGATAATAATAAATTTTTGTTCATTTTTCATCGGACTTGTGCATTCATTTCATAACGAACCCGTACGCACGCAACAATACACAACATTTTTACCTAACATTTTAAGCTTTCAGTCATATTTTAAGTCCCTTTACCTATATCACCACTCCTTGAAATCATTTATTGAATTCGTTGAGATCTGCAATCCAAGGTCACCGGCTCTGGGGGGGGGGCATAAGAACAGTTTCTTCTTGAGATTGCTCCGGTAGACAAGACGTGGCTTCCCGGGATCGGATTGAGGTTGGCAGGATTACAGGAGAAAACATGAGGGGGGGGGAAGCAAGACGAAAACGTCCTCCAACGGAACAGCGTCGTCGAAAATATCGTCATATAAAATAAAGCACCTACAAAATCATTACAAGAGGATAACGTTGTAGACAAGTGTTTTTTAAGGCTTTAAATGTTTTAAATGCATATTCGCATAATGATTTGTTGGGTAAGAAGAAATGAGGAAAAGTTTTACTTTTATATTCCCTATTTTTGAATTAACTAATAAACTTTAGCTGGAAAACTGAGAAGGAAACTTAAACGTACAAAAGTGTAAATGAGTAAAACATTTATGTTACTTACAGCAGTTAACATAATTTTATTGTTTACATAATTAAGTAATAAAGGTCATTAATTGATTGATAAACTTTTATTGGTATTTTTTTAAGAAAAATATAAAGATTAAAGAAAGGAAAGTAAGTAACTCTATTAAAATTCTTTCAAAAACTATCAAATTGTAAAATTATTTTATTTCACTTTTGTAATTCTGATGTTCTTTTAATGAAAATTAAATCTCGTTTTGTTTCAGTTTAGTCGTCTTCTAAGTGTCGTTAACTTTGCCATGTACAGCGTGCAGTTAATCGTTTCGATGCCAATTTGCTAGTTATGACGAAACATTTCAGCTCAGTAAGGATTTAAATTCTACTAACTGCCATAAGTAGCATTAATTTTCTACATATTTTCAGATTTTTCCTCCTTACTTTTCCAGCAAAAATTTATTAGTTAATTCAGAAATATGAAATTCACAAATTATTGTGCAAATGTGCATCATGCGATGATTTGTAGGTGCTTTATTTTTTACCATGATATTTTCAACGATGATGTTTTTAAACTGCGATGTTTTTTATACCACGATGTTTTAGGAATGCAACGTATTCTCCTTGCTTTCCTTTCTCCTACAATGTTTCGTTCAACGACGTTGTTTTTTCGCGATGTGCTCGTCCCGCTGGCAAGGCGTCGAATCAGTGAGGTTTTGTTATTGTTGCTTGTTGTTGCTTATGCTCACTTGTCTGACGTAGATTACGCCTGCCGTTGGCAACAGCTATGAGCATCATTCAGGTGACAGTGCGATTTAGCTCAGTTCCTTCCCCAGTTTTGACGGAGAGCACCCCGGGGGGTCAGAAGATCTCCCACCCCTCTTCACCAAAACACACAAGAGGACTTTCGGCTCGCCGCATATTTAGAATGCCGCCATGGGCACCGACACTATACATTAACAAATATTCATGCCTACCCCGGGATTCGAACCCGGGCCCTTCGGCACGGCAGTCAGCGACGCTAATCACTACACCAGTTGGGCAGCAGTGAGGTTTTTGTACTTAAGATGAGACCCCTCACCAATGACTGAGTAGTTAAGGGCGATCACTACTGGAGTTCAATCCCATGGGAATGGATCAGATTTATGGTGTTGGTTTTCGTGGTAACGTAAATGCGTTAATGTATCCCATGTCTACGAGCCGTGTGTAACGTGAGTTCGAGCTAGTTCCCTTAGAAAAATCATTCACAAAGGCATTCCTTCTATAAAGCAAACAGCCCTCGCGTACTTCCTCATCTTTAAAATAACATTGACCTACCCCTAAAACAAAATTCGAACATGCTCCTCCCGCCTTAAACGATACTCTGCCAAAAACGTAAGATTCCCATAAGCTGAGTAACTTGCAAGAATGGGTTATAAAGTTTACCCAAATACTTAATATTTTAGAAATACCTCTGCCACCTCCCTAAACCAAGATAATTACTCATTTGTTATCTTTACATGTTACTGCATCAACTTCTGTACCTTTTGATCTCTTTGACTTAATTTATTTGATTATCGCATTCGAGCACTCGAGGACTTATCTGCCGTTTATTCAGCTCCCTTTGTTAGTAAAAAGAGTCTGAAAACATCTTATTCGAGAAAATATTTTAGGTTAAGCCGCAAAAATGCGTTATCTCTTTGTTTTTAAGGTATTTTAATTGGGGGGGGGGAATCGGGACATATTAGCTGAAAGAAAGTTTTAAGAATATACAGTGGATCGGAAACATAATACTTGCATTATTCCCACACTTCATTTTTAGCCCAAAGGAGTAATTTGACCGGAAGGGCTATTAATTTCGTTTTGGCATTTTGCATTGGTTCACTATAAACGGCGTTTCACTTTTCAAATTGTTGCCACCAAATATTAGGGCCCTGCATTATATTTAAAGAAATTAAATAATGAAGAATCTTCATGAATGTGTGTATGTTTCTCGTAATGTGAAAGAACAACGATACTTAGAGACATCAAATTTTGAATAACGTACTCCTACACTCGTATATGGGTAACTGGAAGCCCAAATTTAGAATTTGGAATTTCTCTTATTATCTATTTCATATTTTTTAAAACATCTACTAATATTTGATTAACAATTTCAACGATTCCATAGCGAGCAATGGCAACACTGTAGGGGAATAAATTACAC